CATTTATTTGTAGAGCTAACAGAAACACACAGCTTAAAGTCTTTCCGAGAAATAAGGGGCAGCCAAATCGTGAACAGAGGACTAATTTTCATTCTGTATTTTGATGTTCATGAAACCATTTTACTGCCACGGGTATTTCTTGTCTGTGTTTTAAATTACAGATTAGCTCATGCAAAACTGGGAGCTGTTAACAGCGGATGGCCTCTCCTTTGCTTTTATGGAGTGAAAATTTTATTCTCCTTCTCAAATACCGGTGATTTTGATCAAAGTCATGGCGGGACAGCCGCCTCAACGGCTGAAAGGACAGCAGCATTAAATCAATTCCCTAGGCAACCTCCCAAGCCGAGCCCCTATTGTTCAAATAATGAGTTGTGCACCACTTGATCCCAACCCACCAGCTGATCCCCATTTTTATAGACAATACATAGCACAGAACCAGAAAGCACCCGTGAACTGATCGTTTCTCATTCAGCTGATAAAACTTAACATTTCTTTCTGTAAGAGCCTACGGGCATTTTAAAATGTAGGAAAAGAGCATCCTTCAGAGTTAAAAACAGATTTTATAAAAGTAGCATGAACTTATTCCAGGGAGCTGATGCTTAAAGAACCGGGAAGACTTTTTAACAGCGTGCATACACTGTGCTGCCTCTCACCTCCCAAAAAAAACTGGATTTTCTTTCCGTATCCCCACATTACCTTTAACTCAGGTGCCTCACTGCAGGGTTGAGCCCTGCCTCTCTGTTCAGCACTGTTACCTGCAATTATTCTTTCACATTTCAGAACGAACACTTTAACTTTTCTTTCATTTCCTAAGTTTTGCAACACGTGGGCCAGAAGTCCCAAGGACAAGTAAATCAGGAGGGCCCCCTGAAAACAGGCAAACACTGTGTTTTGTAACTCAGGAGTTAAAGCACAATTTAAACAAAGAGCCTATGACTGGTCCATCAGATAAGGCTTATATCTTTCTCCCTGGAATTTAATAACACTTCTTCTAAAACACTTTTCGGCCAGGTGGAGTTGAAGTTCCCGGAATTGCACAGAGTAGCTTAACTACAACAAAATGTGCATGGAGTTTAATTCATTGTACTTCCTTCTAAAAAAAAAAAAAAAAAAAAAAAAAAAAAAAAAAAAAAAAAAAAAAAAAAAAAAAAAAAAAAAAAAAAATTTTTGTGGAATAGGGAATTAGAAACAAGGCATTTTTTGGGAGGACTCAATGCAGGGACAGGCTGGACTTTTCTCAGCACCGTGCAGGTGGGGACGGGCGCTCCCCCCACTGCTGGCTGCTGTCCTGCGCTCCTCAGGGGGGTCGGGATTTTCCACCAAGCCTCATTGAGCACGGCTGGGCTGGGGCTGGGGCGAGCCCAGCGGCTGCGCTCGCTCCGGTTTCAGTGCCCAGGTGCTGCCCTGGCACATGGCGAGCGGGGCACGGCGGCTGGAGCCCGTCCCGGGGTCCGCTCCGTGCCCAGCGGCACAAACACGGCCGAGACACCGGGAGAGCCCCGGAGCGGCTCCAGCGCACAGCCAGGAGCTGTTTGTGGAACTGGCTGGAAAAAAGTTACACCTCGCAAATCTCCACCTCGACTTCGGGCTGCGAACACCGGGAGAAGCCAGCAACAACCGCATGGGAAAGCCGGCAGGGACACGGTCCCGTCCCGCCGCAGGACCGCGCGCAGAGACGGGGCTCGGGGGTCCCGTCTGCCCGCACTCACCGGGGCTGCTGGGCTGGGCTGGGCTGGGTCCGGTTCGCTGCGGTGCTGTCCCTCGCCGGGCTGGGCTTGGTTCCGTTCGGTTCGGTTCCGTTCGGTTCGCACACACAGCCCCAGCCGGAGCGGCCGCACAACCTGCTCCGTTCAAACGCCAGCGCTGCCGCCCGCCCCGCCCGGCTCGGCCCGCCCCCGCCGCGGGCCCTGCCCAAACACGGACCGGATTCTACGGAGCGGAGTGCAGCGTCCCGTCCGCCCGGCAGCGGCGGTGGAGGCCCGAGCCGAGATCCAGCCCCGGTGTTGCCGCGGCCCCGCGCCCGTTCAACCTGCTCCATTGCTCCATTGTGTGCGCTGGGAGCGGCGGGGCGGCGCGGCTCGCTCCCTTTAGCGCTGAGCCCGGGACTGAGACCCCGGCCCCGCTCCCCTCAGCACCGAGCCCCCCGGCCCGCTCCCCTCAGCACCGAGCCCCGCGGCCCGCTCCCCTCAGCTCTGAGCCGGGACTGAGCCCCCGGCCCCGCTTCCCTCAGCGCTGAGCCGAGCGAGGGGCGGCCCCTGCCCGGCGGTGCCATGGAGCCCCCTGCTCTCCATGCCCCCTGCCATGGCAGGGACATCTCCCGCTGTCCCAGGCTGCTCCAACCTCAATGCCCAGCCTGGCCTGGGACACTGCCAGGGCTGGGGCAGCCGCAGCTGCTCTGGGCACTCTGTGCCACGGCTTCACCAGCCTGTGAGTAAAACAATTCTTTATTAAATCCAATCGGAACCGATCCCCCTCCAGTTAAAGGCATTCCCCGCTCTCCTGTGACAGCAGCCCTGCTCCGCGGTTTCTTCCCAAGGGATGCGAACAGCAGCCCCGTGCCCGCTCTGCCGCGGGTGTTTATTGCCGTCTGCCTGACATGCCACAGCGGCAATAAAAGGTCTGTGCGGGGTCGGAGGTATTTTCTTGGGCCATTTGGAGGCCGGGTCTCTCCTTTCACTCCCTGTGGTCCTTTGAAGATGTCGCATCGCTCACGGCACATTGAGAGTTGCAGGGAGAAAGGCACAAGTGCTGAACAGTTTAATTCCTGTCCTTATTCCCGGATTCCCAGTCACAGAACTGCCTCCTCGGTTGGAAATCCTCTGCTGCGGGTGAAGGGATGGATGGAACTCTTGAGAGCATCTCTGGGGTTTTTATGGAATGGGGGAAATGCTGCTGCTCCCCCAGGCAGCCCAGCCGGGTGCTCAGATTTGTCTCTGCTCCTATTCCTGCTTTTCCAATAGCCAGGCCTCCCACAGAGACAGGATCTGCAACCTCTCAAGCCCTGCACAGATGGGAAGCACAGCTTTGAACTGAATTGGGCTCTTTCTAAGGGGGGAGGGTATGCTGGTGGGTTGGTTTGTTTTTTTTTAAAGATAAGCCCTGCGTGATAAGGAAAACAGCATTAACAAACAATTACAGGACCTGACCCTCAAGAAATCATTTGTCACTGCAACCCCAAATCCATGTGAGGGAACAACACACTCGACTCACATTCGCCCACACCTCACCTCTGCTTGCTAGAAATGTGACATGTGGCTTCCTGAGACTTTTCTCTCAGCCTGACAGTGGATTTTTGTGATAAATCCTCCTCTGACTCATCTACAGAACAGAAGTGTGAAGTCCAGAATTATATTTAATTATTACAGAAAATAAATCAGACGTGTACAATGATGCCCAGCTTGGAAGAGCTCCTCCTACTCCCCAGACACAGGAACACCTATAAACCCCCAGGAGAAGTTAGGGACTATTGCCGAGCCTGAATGCAACTTTGGGGTTAAAACTCAGCTTTTTTTGCTCCGGAGCTGCCACAGCCAACCCAAACGCCCTGAATGTGCAAGAACCAGGGTGCTGGCTCAGCCCTTCGCTGTTCTAGGCATAAACCCAGAATCTCTTTTCTCATTTTCCATTTTTAACAGCACAGAGCCCTGGTTTGCTGCCTCCCTTCTCCCCCACGCTGGGTTCCAACACACTGCAGGTATTTCATGGCTCACTGCTCCCCAGCACCAGCCTCACCCTGGGAGGACCAGGAACAAAAGCAGTAAAGAACCACTAACATCTATTCTTACCCAAGGAAACTGTTTTTTTTTTAAGGATCTCGAGAGTCACAACTCTGCCCTGAAGTCAGCAGAGAAAATGCTGATGTAGCAACTAACTGCCAGACAAGCAGTGCTCAATTAAGTTTTTTTGTAGCAAACTCTTCTCCCCAGTGTTTCACTGGAAAGCAATCACACAGAAAAAAAGAAAATCTGTAAAACATTGCATTTCAAATAAATATTGGGACTGTGGGAGGTTAAACAAAGGTCAAGGGCTTGGTATATAAAACATATAACAACAAACTTAAGAAATTCAATCTTTATTCTAAGAATATTTACAACATAAATAGTAATACACTCATACTTCACATGTGTATCAAAAATAAAGCAAGAATTCAAGTTCTTAGCACAGTCTGATCTTGTCAAATTTAATGTTGAAGTTTTATATTCATCTAATTTTAGGTACTTACAGAACCATCAGAAAGAAACAACACAGGTTTTTCCTCTTCAAATAAAAGTTGTCTTTGAAAATTTTGGATACCTGACACTATATTCTTTGATACACCAAATGATGTTTATTCCCCTGAGGAACTTTAGTTATTACAGCCTTATCAGCTTTTTAAGATCAGCCATAACAAATCACCTTTTATATGACTAACAATGCAACCCATTATTCAAGATGAACGAGTTTTAAACCACAAATTACACCAAAAAGTAGCGTAAGAACAGAATTCAAACAAAAAGGGTGTGTTTAAACCCATCCCACCAGCTTTGTAAAGGCCTGACATGGGGTTTCTGTCCAGTGTGGGCTTGGCAGCAATGGCACATTAGAGGTGTGAAGGGACTCTGCCCCTCAAACCTGCACTGGGCAGCACAGCTGGGAGGAGTTCAGCAGGTGGGACACTGGAAAACTACTTTGGGACATCACTGTGGGCAACTTTGGCACCAGAACATTTTCATTGGTGGCCTGCACATTGCTACTGAACTTCAATCCCACGTGGGTTGTGATATGGGATATATTCTAAACAACCATGAACTGTGGGGTTATATTCTGTGTAACCCATGAACTGTGGGGTT